CAACACGCCCTCCATGTTATGTGCAGATTAGACTTTGGGGGTCCAAGTTAATGCCCCCCAAAGAAGATGCTTCCAGGAAAGTGCTTTTACAGGAAATGTCAGGCGCAGGTTCAAAAATGCAAGCTACACACATCAAATGCACAGGGAACATGTTGGTGGTTCCAAGGCTGGAGACTTTCGCCCCCTCATTTCTTTGAAGTTGCTTTGAAATTTGGTAAACATTTTGTTCAAGCAGAGACAGTTTGTTTGGAAATGTATCCATTCATGAACCACTTGAAAGTCTGTGGAAAGTTCATGCTGGTTGACCTGCCACAAACATCAGTTTGCGAACTCATGAACTTTAGTTTGTGAGCTGATTCGTACCCGTCCCTATAGCTCACTCTAGACAAGTGTAATTTCTTGGATCTGACTGTTGTTCGGCACAACCAAAAGATTTAACACATTCAGTTAGATCCGAAAGTTGTGTTTGACCATTTGCTGACAGAAGCCTCCTTGCACTGATGGAAGCTTCCTTATGTGGAAGGAAGGCTCCATCTTTGGATCCAACCCACTCAATGAAGAAAGCTGTTTCAAATCCTATATAGAGATTAGGGTTTTACAAAGAACTGTTCTTTCTTGGTATTTTTGCCTAAGCAAATGAGCACACTGACTCTCAGTATAAACATAGTTGTGAATTGCCAGACTGACAAATTTATTTGCTGGTTCTTACCCTAATAGCATAATCTGTGAAATATGCACTGAAGATTTAAACAGGTAACTAATACTGTTGATATCAGCTGCAACAAGAACAGTATATATTGGGTCTAAAGAGACACTACAGGTAATTAGAATTTTTAAAACTTACACATGGGTTTCCTCATATGCATTTAAGGCAACAGTCCCATTGCAAAAACGTCTTTACTAAAAATAGCACATATTTGAGTGCCTAATGTAGAGCTTTTATTTTAATTAATATTTCAGAGCAGTTCCTAGTAGAAGAGGAAAGTAAGAGCCCTATTCATAAACTTGCTGGCATTCTGCCACAAAAAGGTGCTTTTATTAAGCAAAAGCAGGAAAGGAGAGAATGTGTCTTTCCAGCAGGAATACATGTTATTTTTATTTGATTCATAAATCCTTTTTCACCCCGTTGACTAAGGGTGAACTTTTTTCATTTACTACTGATGTGGACAGGGTTTGAGAGAATCATACTTAAAAGGAGCCAGGAGAGAGAAATTACATTCTTAAGCATTTATTAAAATAAATACAGAAAACAGTGTCACAACTGTGTTGGGGCAAAGTGAAGAAGCTCCAACTAACAAAATAAGAACTAGTCTGTTGGAAATGAGCTTACAAGTGACAAAACTGAATTTATCATAACAAAATCAATAAAATAGTTTTGAACAAGTGTAGGCCTTGAGGGGGGGATTCCCTCACCCCCCACACTTTCTTGCTAGACCTGCACTCAGTGCAACTCCCAGGCCTGTTCCCCCACAGCCTGCGGGCCCAGTGCAACTTCAGGTCTGCTCTACCACTGGCACCATGCCCAGTGCAGCTCCTGGGCTGCGCCAGCATGCTCTGTGCATATTCTGAGATGCATGGATGGTGGCATGCCCAGCACAGCTCCCAGGCTGTGCTGCCACCACTGAGCCCAGCACAGAGTCCCGGGTTGCATAACCACCATCAGACCCCCAGTACTTTATTGGGGGGGGATTTAACCCCCCCCATGTATTTTGTTTTTAAAAATCAGATTTTTCTTCAAACCTGGGGAGTGCCCCAAGTTCGCTGAAAAATCTGCTTAGCTTCTGTGTGGCCCTGAGCTGCAGATTTAGCTATCCACAGACGGGAGCCACATGTGACTAATATAGATAGGTAAAATATTATCCATTTAATAATAATTTATTTCTGAAACATGTAAAGTACTGGATTCTGTACACGACTTCCTATATTTCAGGGGCCAGTCTCCTATACAAACTTATATTGGTTTAACACCAATTTAACTGTGTTGCCCTTCCTCCCCTGAAATTGTAGTAGGTGAGCATACTGATTTCTCCATTAAGAGATCTGAGTCTTTCTTACAGAATTACATTTCCCACAGTTCCCTGAGAGAAGAATTAAATCAGTTTAACTTTGTGATAAAAATGTACCATCAATTAAAAAAAATTGTTGTGTTAATTTTGAAATGAAGAAAATATGAGAAAGCATGTACCTTTAAAGTTGGGGCATATTAAGGAATAATATCGCTGCCACCACCCCACCAGGTTCAAATCAACTGCAGTGCAGTGGTTAGAGTTCGGGAGCTCCACCTTCAAATTCCTGCTTGTTGTGAAACTTTCTGAATGGGCTAGTTATTCTGTCAGCCTAACCCATCTCAAAGGATTGTCATCAGAATAAAATAGAGGATGACAGCATCAGGAGATGCTTAGAGTGAGAGTGAGAAAGAAATACATCAAATAGTTATGCATGCAGTGTCTCCCTTTGAAAAGTATTGTGTACAGGGCCTGTAAAACAGAGATGTCCCACCAGTCCTTCGGTTGAGGCAATGGGTGTCTCATTATCCTGGCCTCCCCTGCTCAACCCCTGACCTGGTATGTTCAGTGACTGGGGGGGGGTGTGATTGCCCACTTCCTATTGTTCAATTCTGGGCATATTTTATACAACCATAGGAGCATTATGTTTATGGGCCATCTGGATTTGATTACTCATTGTATAACTGTAGAGGGTTTTATCTATTTTTTGTTTTATTTGTACTTTTAGTCATTGTGAGCCACCCTGAGCCCTGCTTGCAGGGAAGGGTGGGATAAAAATCCAACTACTAAATAAATAAAATAAAAAGAGTGCTTGTGCAGACTGTGACTAAGCATGATCTGGACCACAGCAAGCACTGTAGAAAGACCCAGGGGTTGGATCAAACAACTCCCCTCTGCTAAGTAAAGGGTCTTCCTTTGATGGAGAAAGGCTCCTTCCAGCAAAGTAAAGCTGCCCACTTAAGGCTTTTCCACATGCTTGACTTACTCTTGATTTTCTTGGCAGTCAATCCACAACCACTGGACTGTCTGGGCACAGTTCTTTAGCACATCTGCCCCCATCTGAATTTTTACAGTTGTGGAGTCAGTTTATTTTCTTCTGCACATGCCCTAAATAATTGGGATTTTCAAAGGAGGATGCTGTCATCGTTGGTGGCACCACAATACCCCTTTAATTTTTTTGTGTACGCTTACATCAATATATCAATATCACCTGTCTTTGCCAAAAAAAGGCACTAAAGTATTGATATATCTATACACTGCTGTAATGGTATGTCAAGCAGGCCCTCTGCATTCCCAGCTTTCATTTTTTTAAAGTAAGTTTCTATGCCCTTTCTTCACAGACATATGCCTTTTCCCTTATATCTCCACGAAGGTGGCACCTAGAGACTTACTTTTTCCAAAAAAAATTGAAAGCTAGGAATTCAGAGAATTCCCCTAAATCTATCATCACAATGGTATATTGATATATTGATATTTTACTGCCTTTCATGTTTAAAAGAAAGAGGGAGTAGCTTGATGATGATGATGCACAAATCTGTGCCCCGTGTGCTCCCGTGGTTGGATGAGGAACACACAGAGTCCAGCGAGTCGGATAAAAATCTGTTTATTGCAATAACAGGAAAATACAGGACTGGATACCTTAGCACCCAGTGACACCAAGCTGTATTCTGCCCCAACCAGGAAGGGTGTCCAATCATGAAATGCTGTGTGGGAATGAGGGACACAGAAAACCAATAGAAACCGTATGCACACACACACAAAAAAGATGACTCAAAATTTGCTTCCAGAAAAAGATCTGGAAAAATGAAATGGGGAAAAATGTGTGTGTGTGTGTGGGGGGGAACTGAAAGTGAAAGCTAAAAAGTACAAAAATGCATGTGGAAATCAGGGGATAACCCAAAGCTGTGTGGGGCCAGAACCAATGAAAAAAATGTAGAAACCCCCCTTTTTGTTGTTGTTCAGTCGCACAGTTGATTCCAACTCTTCACAACCCCATGGACCACATCACGCCAGGTCCTCCTGTCTTCCACCGTCCTCCAGAGTTTGCTTAATTTCATGTTCATTGCATCAATACCACTGCCTAACCTTTGCCGTCCCTTTCTTCTTTTACCTTCAATATTTCCCAGCATCAGTGTCTTCTCCATCGAATGCTCCCTTCTCTTAGCAGAAGTTAATCATTGGATTAAACTCAGCACTTCTGAATTCCACAGGACCAATCAAGACAAGAGAGACAGAATGTCTTCTGTTCCATGAGAAGAAACCCTCATGCTAAGTCTAATGCTCTGTTGTCTTTTAGTGCAGGAGAAGAATGCTGGAATGCAGTGACTGCCATCTCCCACCCAAAAAATTCTTTAAAATATTATTTAACCTTTAATATTATTTTTAAAAATTACAAATCTTTAATAAAGTATTATCATTAAACACATTATAGCATACTAACTGTTGCCAAAATTATTTACATTCAAACAAAAAATCCTGAAAATACTGTTGGATGTCACTAATACTTTTCCTGGACAATGAGTGTTCAAAATCAAATCCATCATATATGAAAAGCCCCCAGATTTTTGCTTGAAGGGCAGCCCTCAACCCTTCCCCAGCCAAAAGCCATCATGCATGGGTCCAAATCGAAATATCTGATATTCACCTCTCCCCAAAAGCACCGTGTGAGAAACGTCCAAAATTCCGAGTGAAAAAGAACTGCAAATCCGGTTCAACAGCCAAGTCAGAGCCACAACGGAGTCCAGGTTCAGCCTCTAAACTTGATCTCAATCAATACTAAGGGAGGAGAGGAGAGGGCTAGAGATATTAAAAGAGAGTCCCTGAGCGTGTGCAGAGTGCTTTCCCCTAACCTGGTTCCACGTCGCTGGAAGAGGAGGCAGAAGAGGAGGCTACCCTGCTGTGCCCTCGGCCCGCCACCCCCTTACCTGCCCGCCCGCCCGCTCGCCCCGCGCTGTCTTGTCGCCGCCCGTCTCGTCTTCCCTCCCGGCCCTGCTGCATTGTGGTCCGGCCCGGCCGGCGGCGGCGGCGACGTGAAGCGGCGCGAAGATGGCTGAGAAGCAGCCGCAGAAGCACGACGGGCGGGTGAAGATCGGCCACTACGTGCTCGGGGACACGCTGGGGGTCGGCACCTTCGGCAAAGTCAAGAGCTGAGTATGGGGCCGGGCAGGGGCGGGCTGCGGGGGAGGGGGAGAGACGGGTAGGCTTCATCATCCCGAGCCCGGCTGCCGTCCGCGGGGGTGCGAATGTCCTCGGTGGGTGCCAAGCGGACCCTCCTTGCGCAGACACGAGGCGCTTCCGATCGAACCCTCCAGAGCATCCCGCAGCGCCCCCTCCCCCCTTCCAGGTTCAGAGAGACAAAGGGGATGCTCCAGAGACTTGCAAAGAGGTGACAGTGTTTAGGAAACAACAGCAGTGGCTTCAGATCTACATCCCAGGTCATGCAAGCTGCTGATGTTCCCTGTCCGTTGCTTACACAACCTGTGGAACTCCTCATGAGATGCTCAGAGGAAAGATGGGCTTCTAGGTGGTTCTAATACATCAATAAATGCTATGACCTGTTATCCATGTTCACACACTTAGCATAATATGTGCATGAAAAAGGGGTTTACATTGTAAATTTTGTTCAGTCTCTAAAACTACTTTCTCTCCATCATTCATGGCATCTGATGTGTTAGTCTTTGGCAGCAAAATACGTAAAACAGGAGTCCAGTGGAACCTTAAAGACTCACAAAATGTATTCCAGCATGTGTTTTCGAATAGGTTGTTGTTTCTTAAAATGCTGCTGGGATTCTGTCTTATTTTAATGACATTTGCAGCTCAGAGCATAAACTTGCTCATTGCATTAATCTCATTAGCTGTCATAGGCGTTTAGAGCAACCAAAATCCATATGATGATTCTGAGGAGTCATGTTCCCAGATGGGAAGATGCAGGAAGTTGTCATTGCCTGTCAAACATTTCCAGTGTTGGGGAGGGGGGTGGGGTGGGTAGATCATTTTGTTTCTCCAAAAATTGATGAAATCTGTTGCAGAATTCCCGTGGTTCTTTGGAAATGTCAACAAGGCTAGTGTGTATTGAATTTCTTTTAAAGTGTTTTGTTTCTTTCCTCCACCCAAGCCTGCCCCCTCATATTTTGTCTTTTCTGTTAGCACTTTAAAAAGTACCCAGGCATGTAAATCAACATGTGAGCAAGAATTATCTCCAGGCAACCAAACAAGCATGCTTTTGAAACACTTAATTGTCTTGTTTTATCTTTTTTAGGATTGTTGTTGTTTGTGCTACAGATACAGATTAGGCAGACTAACTAAAATGTATTTCAGGTTGATTATGGGGGGTGGGTTGCTTGTCAGGTTGATCATGTTTTTTATAGTGCAGGAAGAGAGCTAGTCCCTAACTTTCAAAATTCAGTTGAACTATTTATTATCTTTTCCTTATTACCTTTTACCCAGGTGATTCTTCCAAGGGAACCTAGGAGCTCAGAGAGATGTGTTTCAATGCACATGCTTTATACTATTTAATTTTTAAAAATATAGTTTCTAGACATTGTATTATGTTAAATTAGTCTATGAAGTCCCATCTTTCTCTGCCTAGCTTTTTGGCAATGGACACCAGCATAACAGGGGCCTGGGTTACTATGCTACACAACAAACAATGCTCTGGTCTCCACCTCTCAGGACATCCGAGCTGTCTTAACAGCTCCCAAGGGAGTGAAACTGTTATATCTGTGCATCTCTGTTGCTTACACTAAGCAAATGATGGATAAGCAAAACAGGCTGTTTATTATTAATTATTAATATATCAGCACTAAGAAACCCACCTACAAATGGTTAGAGAGATGAAGAGAAGGTGGCTTACTCATATCCTTGTTTTGCTTTATTGGTTGGGGTAGGATGATTTTTTCTTTTTTTTCTCCTGGCTTGCGGTAAGGAAAAGGTCTAGATAAGTGAACATAAGAACATAAGAGACGCCAATGTTGGATCAGGCCAAAGGCTCATCTAGTCCAACACTCTGTCACACAGTGGCCAAAAATACCAGGTGCCACCAGGAGGTCCACCAGTGGGGCCAGAACATTAGAAGCCCTCCCACTGTTGACCCCCCCCAGCACCAAGAAGACAGAGCATCACTTGCCCCAGAGCCCCTATCTATACCTTGTGGCTAATAGCCACTGATGGACCTCTGCTCCATATGCCTATCTAATTCCCTTTTGAAGCCGTCCATGCTTGTAGCCGCCACCACTTCCTGTGGCAGTGAATTCCATGGGTTAATCACTCTTTGGGTAAAGCATGGACGGCTTCAAAAGGGAAGTACTTCCTTTTATCCATTTTAACCTGACCGCTCAGCTATTTCATGGAGTGCTCACGAGTTCTTGTATTGTAAGAAAGGGAGAAAAGTACCTCTTTCTCTATCTGCTCTTTCCCATGCATAATCTTGTAAACCTCAATCATGTCACCCCTCAGTCGTCTTTTCTCCAAGCTAAAGAGCCCTAAGCGCTTTAACCTTTCCTCATAGGGAAAGTGTTCCAACCCTTTTATCATTCGAGTTGCCCTTTTCTGCACTTTTTCCAAAGTGAATACAGAATAAAACACAAATCATCACTATTAACCTTAGGAGCTTAGAGTATAGCAAAACATCCAGTTGGGCTTCCTTTCATTCCTAACTGTGTCTGTGAGAAGCTGAGGCTGTTTTCATATTGTTGGTCTGGGAGAATGAGATGCCAGATAGGTAAAGTGATCGCATCAGGCCTCCTTCTGATAGCGGTAGGCAACAGAAGAGAGAAAGCTGAAGAACTAACCAAACATTTTATTCCCATTAAGTCAAGAATGTACTATGTCACTATCGCATGTAGGTCTCTTCCCCAACCTAGAGAGCAATCCTAAACAGGTCTACCTAGGCCCTGGTCACACGGGAGATTTTGGCCTGGGAGAGGGATGGATCGGGGGCGCAGCAAACGGGCGCGAGCACACCGCAACATCTGGGAATCGGCTCACACCCGTCCCCGATCCGTCCCTTCAGGCCAATAACGCGCTGTAAAAAAGAACCACCCCCAGAGGAGGACTTACCTGGGACGCCGCATCAAGCGCGGCAGTGGGATCACCGGCGTGCTCTTCATTCGTAGCAATCCCGGCCGAACTGCGCATGCTCACACATGCACAGTTTGGCTGCCTCGCTTCCCTGTCAGTGGCTTCCCCCCGGCATCTGAGCGTGCGGGGGAGGAAGTGCGCGGTGGCTTAGGGGATCTATGTGATTCCGCCGCCGCATGTCTCTTTCGGTGCGGCTTTAAAAAGCCACACTTTGCCCGTGTTTTTCCCCCCGTGTGGTAGGGGCCCTAGAATTCTACTCTGGGCTCTTCAATGGGGCTCACTCCCAGAAAAGTGTCCTTAGGATTACACTGTTGATTGCTTCTTGCAGTGTCTTGGCAAAATGGATGGTAGGGTATATATCCCTGATGCAAAAACAAACAAACATAAGCTGTTGCTGCAGCCTCAGCTCTTTGACAGTGTGTGATATGGGCAGGCACAGCCGCAGCAGCTAACGGTCTACTTTCTTCAACAAAGGGCTTTCCCCACTATATCTCAGTCCCTTTTTTCTTCAGTGTGCACATGCAACAGGCATGTGTGATGTGTCCATCTATTAAGGAAATGTATGTTTGCCAACTGATCAGAAAAAAGGCCTGACCTATTTATGTGTCTTTGTAATGCAAGAAATGGTTGGTTCAGGTTTTTACAATGTAGAGATAAGCACCATCACCAACTGACCGATAAAGATACAGGGAGGAACCCAAATCAGTCAAAAAATTGACAGCACTAACTACCAAGCTTGAAGTATCAAAATTCCATTGCCTTGAGACCCATATTTACGGGAAGAAGCAGTGCAGTCTAGACTGCTGGAAGCAGATGTATTCTGAGGGGATCTTAGGAGCCCTTTTAGAATCTAGCCTGTGAAGTACATTAATAGGATGACCAGATACAGAAAAAGGATAGCTCATCTTGCTGTAGGAGTAAGAAAAGCCCATACATAAGATATCTTCATCTACTACAGTTATTAGAGGTAGAGCAGTTTCTTCTTCATCTGGACATCCTGGGCTTAAAAAGCACTATTTTTACAGAGGCGGACTCTTCAAGCATGTGCAGAAATAGGCCTGTTATTTATGGAATGGAATGTATGTTTGTATTGAGCTTGAACCGACCTATCAGAACAAGGGAAGTTCTGGAGGGAAGCAAACTGATTGGCCTTTATGTACGAAACATGATTGTTTGTTATCTGACATGTGGGCATGGCTTGCCAAGCCCGGACTGTTTGAAAAGGAGCCTGTTGCTCAGTTGTTTGTCTCGTTCTGGTTCTTCTGACTTCTGTTCAATAAAGCTGTTATCACTGTTCACCTGCTGCCTCGAGTCTCGTATCTAACAAGGCCTAAGGTTGTGGTAACCCTCAAGTTTAGGCTGTTTGTGTATGATGGCAGCAGCAGGTAACCTGGGGTTGAGGGTTTCTAGGCTCTGAAAAAATGTTCAATCTTTAGGCCTCCTTCTGTTTTCATGGGCACTGTCATTTCTAGAGGGAATTTAAGTGAAATCACAACTTTTCCAGCTGCAAGGTAGTGCATGTCCCTCTAACATGTAGAAGCATAGGTTTTCACTTAACCTCAGGTCAGTTAATCTATGGGCTGCACATGTAAATTATACAGCAGAACGTTTTTTAACTATTTGGTTGCCTTTTCTGAATGTATAGAAGCACATAAAAAGGGCAAGCCAGAAAGTTTTCTTTTGCAAGCATGGTGAAGGGTTTTATTTTTAGAACATTCTTATTGAGGAAGGAATTCAGGCGGCTCTTATCTCTGCTAATAATAGTGACTTGCTCACCCTTTACACAGCTCCTGCAACATCACTCTGCCCCTTTCTGTAGTTGGGCCATGTCTCCAATCCTACCTTGTTATAAAATCCAGTGACTTTGAAGTGAAATGTTAAACTCTGTACATGTAATACCTTACTGCTCCCTCACCTTAATTTAGGCTCCCATAAACATTCTCGTACTCTTAACATAGTGCCATTCCAGTGTTTGTTGAAAGCCTTGGTGAGTTTTATAAAGCTAGTTATTTCAGCCTGTAATGTAATTATGATCAGAGTTCACTGGGATCAGCTTTTTTCCTAAATCAAACTGCATTTTGCAAAGCAATTGTTCCAAAAATGCCAAAATGAAACCCATTCTCCTTGAGAGTCACTAGATGTTTGTGGACTGGGAGTCAGAAGGAATATTACCAGGCACTAGTAAGTAAGGCACAAGGAGCTGGTGATAGGTAATTTTTAGGAGGAAGATCAGACAGGCAGGCTGTTCCTAAATGAAGACAAAAATCCCATAAAGTTTCCTTTGTAACAAATTCTGAAATCTCTGCTTACAAAGAAAACAGCCACTCTTAATTTTTACACATCAGTTGTTAAGAGGGAATTAGATAAACATATGGAGCAGAGGTCCATCAGTGGCTATTAGCCACAAGGTGTAGATAGGAACTCTGTCTGGGGCAAGTGATGCTCTGTATTCTTGGTGCTTGGGGGGGGGGCAACAGTGGGAGGGCGTCTAGTCTCCTGGCTCCACTGCTGGACCTCCTGATGGCACCTGGTATTTTTGGCCACTGTGTGACAGAGTGTTGGACTGGATGGGCCATTGGCCTGATCCAACATTGGCGCCTCTTATGTTCTTATGAGTGTTGATGCTGATCTGTTTTAAAATACTTAATTTTGCTAAATCTTGGATTACATTCTGGATAATTTCTTCCAAAAGATCTTTCTCTCTCTCCCTCTCAATTTAAATTTATGTCTGAATCTGGGTGGCTTTCATTTTCAATATGAACCTTAGAAGATAAATGTGCAATGCTATGCATATTTATTTGAAAGTAAGTTCTGCTAAATAAATAAGCAAGGACTTCTGCTTCAGTGCATTTAGTTTTTTCTTTCTCAGTTGTATACAGCGTAAGCAAAGACATATCTGAATTGATATGTTTTGTGTAAAATGGACAGTATGAACCAACTGTGTGCTTGAGGCTAGCTGTGGCCATTTCCTGATAATGGAAATGTATAAATGTATTCAAATAGAAACTGACTTGTAGGAAGCCAATGGCAGTTGAGGAAACTGCTGGCCAGCTCAGGGGAGTGGGTTTTACCAGACTCTGGTAAAAGGTGGCAGTTAAGATACCTCAGGTGAACTGCAACTGTGGAAGCAGCTCCTGGGTCTATCCATGTCCTGTTCAGGGTTGAAGTCCACAGAGTCAATGCAAGAATCAAGGGAACTACAGATCTAAAGCGGGGAATTACCAAAACTGAATTCAACAGAGCAGAAATGTTGTTACATCAAAGCCTGAAGACAGACTGAGGACAAGTACTCCCTCCTGTAAGGAGGCAGGGTTGCAGAACTTGTCTCTTTGTCTTTTGGCTCATAAAGGCACCTCACTTAGTTATGCTGCCAGGTGTTTCTAGAGGACTGAAGAGGTCAACTGAGAGAGACCTCAGGCACTGGAGATGGCTCTGAGATAAGGGTTTTGGAATTTGGGTCCAGGTTTGAGGAGGAAGGCATTATTGTTTCCTGGAGTGACAGATTTGACCCAGTCTCTTTGGGGTGCCTGCACTACTTCCAAGAAACCTCCTTGAGGTACCCTGAATACTGCCTCCTGAGTCTAGTTCCAGACCTCAGCCCTTTTTTTCTCCCATTGTGTTTACCCACCGGGAAGGAGCCAGTCCCCAGTTCTGTGATTATTCATAGAAGCAGCTAATAAAGATACACTGCTACCAGGAAAGCAAATCCTCTCCAGTCAGCGACACCTGCTGGGTCTCTGAGGAGGCAATCTTAATGGATACAGCTCCTGAGGAACTCATTGTTGGAAAAGGCTAGTTGGTAATAAGTGAGGGTAGACGAAGCTTGTAAGAGTTTTCTTTTGACTCCCTTCAGTCACTGTGAAGTATTTCAAGATCCCACTTGTTTCTTGGTGTAGTGATTGGAGAGTTGGACTAAGATCTGGGAGACTTGGGTTCAAATTCACACTCAGCCACAGAAGCTTACTGGGGGACCTTGGGCAGGTCAGATACTCTCAGCCTAGCCGACCTCATAGGAAGAGAGGAGAACATTGTACGCCTCTTTAGGTCTCCACTGGGAAGAAAGAAGGGTATGAATGCATAAAATAAATAAGTATTGCTCTGGTAACTAGTTAAAACAATATGTAGTGTTTTGTTTACAGATTGTTGATGAAATATCATCACTATCCTTGTTCACATATTACAGTGGACACATGTACAATCTGTGTACAATGTATACTTGATTTTTCTTTATACGTGCATTGAGTAATTCTCATGTTACATGCAGTGCATACACAGCTGAACATATGATTGAAATCTCACATTTATCCGGGCCCTGGGACCTGGTTTATCTATAAAGTGACCACACATTTGCTTTTCTTACAAACAGATGCATGCACGTACATGCAGGATGTACATGTACATCCTGTGGCATATGAAAGGGCTAGTGCCTGGGTGCAAGTGTTCTAATTCAAACAATAGAAATAGGTGGAGATCACATGTCTTAGTGACTCCTTATACATGCAAAACACTATACAGTGATGATATGTAGTGTCCTTGTAATAATTCTATGCATGACTGCTCTTCATATGTATATATGATATAAGCCCCTGCTAGGTTTGAGCCAGAAAAGCTGAATTTTTTTGTGTGTATTATAAGAGTCATGGAAATTACATTTCAGCCACCTGAATAACTTTTCTTTGAGCACTGACATTTCTTTCAGTTAACATTCCGCTTTTTAAAAAATTTAGTTGGAGAACACCAGCTTACGGGACACAAAGTGGCAGTCAAAATTTTGAACAGACAAAAAATCCGCAGTTTGGATGTTGTTGGGAAGATCAAACGAGAAATCCAAAACCTAAAACTTTTCCGGCATCCCCATATTATCAAACTGTAAGTCTTCCAGCTGCTATTCCCTCTGGTTATGCTGTGTGTCACATGCAAAGTGCATAAAATGAGATGTGCTAATTTCATCTCTGTATTCCTGGTATTTTACTAGGCCTCTAATTAATAGTTTCAAGGATAATATTGTTGTTCTGTATTAAAATAAACAGGATCTGTATTGGAATACAGTTGGTTTAGAACTGCCAGTTTTGGTATATAATTTGTCTGAGGGAATGTTACAAGGTGTTGCTCTTCTGGTCTTCCTGTGTGTTTTTTGTGTTTTGGAGGGTGGGACCTGGAGGGACGTGGATTTGGATTGTGGGATGAAGCACGCTAGCGGTGCAATGTTAAACATTTCTAACATTGTTGGTAAGCCCAAGGATATATAACTGTTTAGGATTATGCTGCAAGTGCCCTAACTTAACCTTGCCAGGTCATTGTGAAGGGAAAATGAGATAATCCCAGTCAGGTATGCCACCCTGAGCTCCTTTCAGTAATGATGGGCATATCCATGTGAGGAAAGAAACTGTGTTATTTGTTTATTTGGGTGTTTTAACCCCATTTTTCTTCCCCTTTGAGGACTCACATCTCACTGTAAAATCAACACCCAGACCACACCCCTGGACCTAGAAACACAAAATTCAGGGAGAGTGCTTCTATCATGGCGTAGATGCTCACTAAGAAGGTATTTTTAGAAATTCAACCCCTAAATGGGTCAAAAGGGGTAAAATGTGCTCCTCCCATTGACTCCTATGCGGTTCCCAGGCTGCTGCCTCCTTGCACCCCCCCCCCACTCTCTGATTGGTCAGCTGCAGAGCTCAGTGTTCTGAGGTAAAAAAAAAACAGTTACAGAGGACTGCAGAGTTGAGGAATGACAGTTGAGGAAATCAGGAGTGGCCAACCGCCTGTGAGGTGAAGCAAAGCTGCTGGCCCAGCCTCTCTGATGGCTTCCAACACACTCTCCCCACCTCCTACACCTAACAGGCGGCTGCCTGTCAGGTGCAGCAGCAGATGCAGTGTGCTTAAACCCATGAGGGAGCCCGCCCCAGCAGTAATGCCTTAGTGATCCTTCCAGCCTCACCTCCACAGTGGCTTCTAATACTCCTCCCCCTCCCCCTCCTATATTGGACAGGGAGCTGCCTGTCAGGTGTAGGAGAGGAGGTGGGATGCTTACAGCCGCTGGGGAGGTTTGCTCAGCAGGATTGCCTTAGCCCTGCTGCTGGCCCAGCCTCCCTGATGCCTTTAAACACAATCCCTCCAATAACAGACAGGCGGGTGTCTGTCAGGTGTAGGACCAGGACCAGGATACTTTAATCCATTAGAGACGCTGCCCCAGCAGGATCACCTTAGCGGTGCTGCTGGCCCAGCCTCTCTGATGGCTTCCAACACACTCTCCCCACCTCCTACACCTAACAGGTGGTTGTCTGTCAGATGCAGCAGCGGTTGCAGGGTGCTTAAAGCCATGAGGGAGCCCACCCCAGCAGTAACGCCTTAGTGATCCTGCCAGCCCTGCCTCCACAGTAGCTTATAATAC